ACATTCGTGTTGTACTTTTAGCTGTAGCACACTTTTAAATGCCTCCAGCTACGCGCATGCACGTGGCAAACGGTTCCTCTTTAACACCCATTAGAGATGCAAATGAAATATTACTAGCCTCGACGGACAGGCAAATGCTAACATTCTGGCTCAAGGTCATTGAAACCGAATAACAAAAGGTTTCCCTCGGATCCAGACACTTATCACATTTTGGACAATTTTGATTACCAATACCTAGTAATATCTGATACAAGATAACACTGCATGCATTATACAACGTGAAAAGTGACTTGTTCATAGCCAAGCATCTTTTGTACAATAAACTTCACAGGAAACAACCGGAGATTACAGTCTTTCGAGGGGCAAACCGCGATTTCATTTTGGACGACCTACAGTAAGTGGTGTAATTCATTCCAAGTCATGATCAAAATTTGATTTGGTAGTTTAGCATATATTTGTTCACGCTATTTTTGCCCTACTGAGTGAATTTGATCCTGAGAACACCTTTTGATAAGAAAAACTGTCTGTTTTGTTCAGTATATTTAAGGCTAATCGCAGAATTTTGTCAAACAAATTTCCTACGCTATTTAGTACGACACAGCCAAACCTTTTATTTTGGTTGAGTGCTGTTACACCGTCTGGGGCAACAGATGAGTTCGTATGGATGCTAACGGATCAAATGGCAAACATTTAAGCCAGTCTATTTGAAGAAACCAGAGGTTGAAGATCCGGTTCAAAAATCTGAATGGCCGATAGTCTTCGGTGTAACGCAAAAATTCCGACGCTTGCGTCGTGGAACGACACCGAATGCCATGAAAGCGGCGACTCATAGACTGACACCCTTCGGACTGTAATTTCAAGCAAAGGCGTCCTTTTGGAAAATGAGTAAATTTTCGACACTGGATCCCCAGGGCGTCGTCAAACTTGAGGAAGCCTTTTAGTAAGGAAAACTGCCTGTTTAGTTCAATATAGTTGAAGGTAACAGCAGAATTTTGGCGAAATCGGGGGTTGCCTGATAGTGAAAAAATTCCTACGCTATTTATTACGACAGAACCAAACCTTTTACTGTTATGCGTTGTGTCATGTGCCATGTGCGGCCGCCATGAAGGGTCCAACCCAAAGCTGTCTGCGGTGGTGTGAGGACACTGTCAGAATTAATCGGAGGGGTAGATCTTGCAACCGAAATGTGCAATCGATAAGAACTTTCAAGCTGCTAATTAGTCAGACCCACCGGTTATGATGTACTGTGAGATTAGCGTGTTGCTTGTAAGAAAACTCAGTAAAATGTATGCCAGTTTTCCTGTTCATGATGATGTCGTTCGCGTTCGGTCTCGAATTTGTTTTTTTCCGTTCGACAGCCAATCGAAGTAGCAAAATCAACGATGACTAACTAAACCAAGCTTCCTTGTGCCTGTTAAAGCACACTAAGCAATTAGATCGGTCCAACAAGAATTCGTCCCCAAGGTTCACTTGGTAGCACATGCGCCCGCATAGAATACTCCTCGACTTAGTCAGCAGTGGGGAGCATGTTTCAGAATAAATTCTCGGAGTAATGTATATGGCGGCACAAAAATAAGTGTACCACTGTGTGCGCAACCCAAATCGCTTAACTTGGGATTGTTGAGCATGACGACCTAATGGAAACTGGAAACTAAACCAATGAAATTACGCTTTAGGCTGTGTCAAATTTTAGCTGGGTACACAAGAGGCGGCATTAGCCTCAGTGATACGTCACTAGACGGCACGATCGACCACAGCAACTTAAGTTCGCTGGAGTAATTTAAAACTGCGAAACCGTGACAGTGTAAGTCGATTTTAGCGAGCTCTACTCGCACAGAAAGTGCAATCGGGAATCAATACAGGGTCGTCGTTCACATAGTGCAACATAGACAAAGCAATATGACAGAATGACTGCGGTGGTTTTAAGCACAATACCGATTAAGACAACTTTACTGATCCTTGCAGTGTGAACTCATATTTTAGAAATCTAGTCAAGTTAACTAGTTGTCTTATGTACTTGTTAACATGACAGCGTACGCCATCTCAATATGAAATTTCTTCGTTTCGAGATAAACGGTAGTCACAGTACAGATCGAGCTGCTATATTTTATGTAAGTCAGCCTTCCCCGCAGCAATGCGACATGACGATTCATGGCCATTTATAGCGGTGACTGGTCTGACAACCCTAAAGTCATATTTACGACCTCGATGTCACCACTGAACTGTATGTAGGTCTGGCCCCACGAGAAATCGACTAGAGTGCTTCCCTCTCCGAGTCTACACCGCCCACGACGATGGCGACTAATAGGAAGCAACTGTATCCCCACAATCGCGTGACAAATCTGTTTACTGGGTGGTTCTATTCTGAGTAACAACCGGTCAGATGATGCTTGTTACAACCTCGTCAGACACAGCCTAGCACGCGCATGTCGAAAAAGAATGCGGCCTCAGCATCTTACTTTTTCCCGTTCAGGCAGCTAATGCGAAAGAGACCTACTATCTGAAAAGGGGTGCGCAAAGTGCATTCCTTGCAACCAAATTCACAGGGGTACTTACTAGTAAATTTGTCTAAAACAGCGCGAAGCTCCTGGCACTGCTGGGGGATTAACGATTGGAAAGCCCAATTCCTGTGGAGGTAACGCGATACATCACAGCACAGATAAAAGCTCAAACACGTGCTTTCTGCACACGCCATTACTGAATGCACAGCGGGGTACAATAATGGATATCTTCCCCTGCGACGGTCGAACTATTTCCTCAAGTGACGAAACTTGACATTTGGTGAGTTAAAACATTCCCAGACCGGTAACGGTGTCAATTCTGTGGGTATTTTTCTCTGTTTTACTTTTCGTAGCGATGGAAACAGATTTTCAACACCACAGACTGAAAGTACTTTTCCAATTGGCGTTGGTGCTCGCTACCCCGCAGGCACATCGTGGAATTAAACAACTAGGGATTTGACCATAGCCCAGAACGTAACATAGAAAAACCGAAGGAAGGTTACCTGGAGGTGACCAAGAAAGTCTTAGTATTATTATAAGCAACGGTTGACAAATGGAAACAGCAGCCATGGGCAGAGAGTAGCAGAGGATACATGAATGCGG